TACGTTTAAGTTGGGAAGCGAAGGCCGCAAAACGGAATAGTTTCAATCCGAAAAGCGAAATATAAAAAAATCCTTCTGAATTCAAATTCCCGTTTGCAAAACTGTATAAGAACTTTATCCGCTCGTTTGTCTCTAGATTCACGCACATTTTGTAGTTTCATTTAAATTCATTTATATCCATCGTTATTATTTATTGCACTAAATAGGCGCTTGCATTCTTCGTTAAAGTTATTTGTCTTGCCGAAAATAATATTTAAAAAATGTAATGCGAACTCTTTGTATTTAGTTAAGATAAAGTGAGCGCGTTGTAACACCATGTTTATGATCTTTTTTTTTTTTTTTTTTACCTATTTGTATCCTTTCCCAATCGTGGGTTATAAACCTGCATGGGAGAGCGTTAAAAAGTGCTCAAATTACCTTTGGGTAGCTACTTCGTGCTATAAGTTCATATTTTTTTTAAAATAAGCAACTAACTCTGATTGTGTGTAATTTACGTCATTATACATATTGTGGCATAACATTTTTACCGTTGTTTTCTTTTTGCCATTCCTCTGGAGAGCACAGACGTCACGAACTGCTGTTAAGCTACGAGTTCATGGGTTGTGTAGTCGTCAGCCTCCCATCACGGATATTCAGGTTTAGTTCTCCGCAGGATATAAATATTGCGTTAAGGGAACGTGGTTTGCGCTGTAGTTGGCCCACCACCGCGTTTTCTTGCCGTGCTCTATAGAGTTTTCCATCAAAACGAAATTCGTAACTCCTGGACAATTTCATCTTAAAGTTGTCGTTTCATGTGATGCTTACGCTCGTTGGGCGGCAAGAATAAAAAAAAATGTCTTCACTTGAATGCTGCACCAAAACGCAATCAATTTTTTTCTCACTCACTGTTAGCTCGTCGATGTATTCGTTGCAGCTTTTAGCTGATGTTTACTAAAGGTTGTTCACGATATAGTGAGCAATTTTGAAAACCTTTTAAAAATGTCACTGCCCCCTACCTGCGTGTATTTTGACGGGCGCACTGTCTGCGTGCACCCTCTTAAGTTGGTAACGACGGAGAGAAAGTAGTTCCATGTCTTAACGCTGATTTAAAAGTGTAAGGTAAACATTTAAGAATATTGAAAAAGTTATTTTTTGCTTTCTATATATTTAATGCTTATAAGTTCATGGATTAGCAAAATTGTAAAACGGTTACTTTTATAATAATTACACAGTTTTAATTGACCAACGCATGGATAACGTGACCAGGCCCATGGCAAATATTAATTTTACATTTTGTAGTGGACACAGCCGCCCCGCATTCTAAGACACTCCAGTAAACAGGCGGCAAGGTAGTTTACTAAACACCGCGCATATATAAGAGGCAGGCAGGGCGCCGCCCCCACCCTTTGACACTCTCACTGACGAGCTCCCAAGGCTGCTGCCGCCCGACGGAGGTGTCGTGGCGCAGAACAGCAGAGAGCTGCGATCCAGGGGCGAGACCACTGAAGACTGCACGACATCCGCCATCGAGAACTGGGGCTAGAGGAGCTCCTGCCCGTTCGACATAATACACAGTGGTAAGACGACGCATACGCTATGGTGCAGTTCTAGGCCCAGAGAATCCCTAAGGCGGAAGTTATAGTAACTAGCGCGATCAGCTCACTTAAGACTAGGGACTCCTTTGAGAGGAACCAGTAATCAAATTTAAGTATTGCGTAGAGTTTGCACTGTGTTAATCAAACAACAATTCAGTATCCAGATTGTGTATAACTGAGTGAATAAATCTGTAGTGTTTTATAAAACCTTGTGTCGCCTACCAAAATTGTATAGGAGTAATTGTTACCCCCACGTTACCGTCCTAGAGTGAATTATTATGTTTTATTTAGAGTCCAAGTATATAAGCAAGTATAGAAGTAAGTATAGCTCTCAAGAGGAAGTATTGCATGGAGGAGTCGCCTATAAGCATTCTGTGGTACTTCAGTATATTAATTATATTAGTCTGACTTATAGAGGATAACAATATGGCGTAATTATACGGAATGTGCGTACAAGTAGGTCTGTAGCAGGGCTTCCAAAAGTGCTTACTTTACAGCGAACAGCCTTTAAAGTGGTGTTCTCGATGTCGGTGATCGCGGATGTGGCGAGGATTATGGTTCAGGGCTGCTCGAGCTCACCGATAGAAGGAAAGTTGACCAACCTTCGTCTTCTGCGTATTTCCACAATCCACAACATTGACTCGCCCATGGCCAGTCACCACTCACATGGTGAACGGTGGTGCGCATTTCCACAACATTGACTCGCCCATGACCAGTCACCACTCACATGGTGAACGGTGGTGCGCATTTCCACAACATTGACTCGCCCATGGCCAGTCATCACTCACATGGTAAACGGTGGTGCACATTTCCACAACATTGACTCGCCCATGACCAGTCACCACTCACATGGTGAACGGTGGTGTCCCTTCGTGTTCGCTTACGTTTGAAATATCAACCGACCCACCCTTCTACACTAATAAAATACTTTGACTAACTTAAATGATGTTTTAGCTGCAATAATACTGTACTAGAAGAAGTGTACATGAATCTCAGAGCACTTGTTTACGTAAACAGCGATCTTACATGAAAGCATATACACATTGTTATTTAAGACTCTTCATGATGGAGTGAACCTTAGAAAAACTCACTGCCGTTAAACGCATACGTTTTAATGAGCGCACTGATTGACGTTTGCCCAGTAAATTGGTAATGATAAACGGAAAATAGTTCCATATCTAAACGTCGAATAGTAAGTTTCAGGTAACCATTTGTGATAATTTAAATTATTTCTTTCGCTTTTTGGTTATTTTTTTCATGCACCGAAAGGTGAAAATGAGCAGATTTGAATAATATTTACTTTCATAAAAATTGCACAGGTTTACTTGACCTCGCATGAATAAAGTCATGAGGCCCATGGCAATGTTAATTTTAAATAAGATGGAAGAACAAACAACGAGCATACAAGTATAACTTAAGCAGGGCTTTCGAAAGTGCTAATTTTATCGTGAACAGCCTATAATACTGCTATTGGCAGTAAAGCAGTTGAATGTTGGAACACGGGGAGTGGCAAACCGCGCAGCTTGCCTGCCACTCTACCCCATTTTCCTTTCCCGCTGGAGTACACCCGGCGGCATAACTCAAAACATTTATGGGCGCCACTTCTATAGAAAAAGGTTTCATCAGCCACAACACCGAGGTCTCGTCGACTTTGCTTCGGTACATAACGATGTATAACTTGGTAGGGTGTACATGCCAGTTACGCATAACCATTTTCCGTTGATCCTTTTTTTTTCTCTCTACGCGACTATTTACAACTGTATAGTTTTGACTAAGTTTAGCTCACTCTTTGCATAAATAAATGCTTTAATATGCTAGAACACTGTTTTCAACAACGTTGTAAAGAAAATGCAATGTAATCAAGTTACGTTCCCCCCTCCCCTCATAAAAGTGCTGGTTTGTTGCAAAAGCAAATCATGTAAAAAAAGTTTGTACACCTGATTTTTCGAAGTTGTTTTGGAAATTCTTGGGCAAATGCTGGCGACATGTGCAGAATAGTCTATCACACATAACCGCGTGACGTTAAACTCTAAGGTCACAATAATTGGTTGCTGTTGGTGTTATCTTCTGTATTTGGCGACAGCTGAAGGGTGCCTTACTATAATATATGCCGATTGGCACAGCAACCTGTCGATGACTGGTATTGGCGGTTAGTCTCAAAATCACTTTTATTTTTACATGTAGTTAGTGTTTTTGGTGGGAACTGGTGTTCTAGTAAGTTTAAATTCAGTGAACTTTTACACCAACCAAACAATGATAGGGCGTTTGGAAATTTTGAACAAAAAAAATGCTTAAAACCTTTCAAATGGGTTGGAATAAAAGTGTAAAAGAAAATATTGATATCGGGCTCCTAATACACTGGTGGGAAATGGAAAATATACACCAGGACGCAATGGTTCCACATGAATAAAGGTTTTATTTAATAATTATAAAGGTTTTACACTCTATTTGATAATGATCACAGGTTCGCAAAGCGCTACAGATTGTTTTGAACAACAATGTCGGTATCTTGTGTAGTCTTCTTTAGCGACTATGCAGCCCTGCAGTCGTGTGTAGAGACGATCATAAAGGTGCCGGATGTCATCTTGGGGAATTGTGTTCCACGCTAATTCCACCTGCCGTTGCAATTGGTGGAGATTTGTTGCCGGTATTGCAGACTGGACCAAACGCTGACCCATCATGTCCCGCACATGTTCAATGGGGGACATGTAGGGTGATTGTGCTGGCCAGGGGAGTTGACAAACGTCTTCGAGAGGGCGTTGGGTTACACGAGACGTTTGTGCACTGGCATTGTTCTGCTGGTTTAGTGTGACTAATGGGTTTTTTGACAGAGGTGGTATCTGCATCATCACAATTGATGGTTGGTTAGGCCTTTCTTCCACTTGGCGTGTACGACCGTCACTCCAGATGTAAACGTCACATGCAGATGAACTAATATGTAACCGACGGCTTTGCTGCTGAATATTAGCGCTTGTATTTTAGATTGTGTATCAAACTTCTGATGCAATCAGCAGCAGGTTTTCAATATCTACCGCTGACCATTCGTTAATTGCGCGGGGTTTGTACGCTTTCAAAACAGGGATAATTGTCCCAGATCATTAACATTTTGGGTAAATACTGGCGAAAAACAGTTTCACGGAAATCACAGCCCGCTCATCACTGATAATTTTAAGTACTTGAGTTCGATCATGTTTGGCTTTCAGGCATACTTTCCGTTCAGTCCGACATGCATTTTTTCATGAATATGAAGAATGCAATAAAATAGACTGCATGTGCTTGTGGTTGTAGTAGTGGTAATTTTATTTGTAGTAATTTGAACAGTAGTGACTCTCGTAGAAGCCAACTTAATTTAGTTGGCTTATCGAAGGCACCTGTATAATCACTTTCCTTCAATGAAATTGTAAATTCGCGTGGGGTTCCTAAAAGTTCATCCGATTGGATTCGAACCTACGACCTCGTGAATGCGAGTCATACATGCGACCACACAACTGAGACCTCTCGTTATAAACAATCTATTTTTGCGCAGCAAGCACTCCCAGATGTTCCTCAATGAAATATTGCACCTGTTTTACTACTGTCTTGCTAATATGCTGTCAGCATTAAATTTCTTAATAGAGAGGAAACCTGAAAGCTCAAAATATTTTTTACCTCTAATATTAAGGCTGTGATAATTATTCCATACCAACTTATTTTGACTGCAGATAATGCACGTTTCGTCATTATAATAACTGATATCGTTCTAGTTATTGAGTGACTTATTTCCACTGTAATAACGATCTACATTGAATGTTGACTCCTTCTGCTTCCGTGCTGATTCTCAGAGCATTTCATTTATTCACTAGTCACTAGTTGCTCGTCCACTAAATGTTCAATAAATAGAATTACACGGACCTTGATCATACGATCAGCTTTAGAGGATGAGGCTTTTAACACACTCGTAATGTGAAAACCTTGCATAACGTTTAAGCTGCTATAAAATATTTGGTTGAAATTCCTTTAAAATGTTACATCATATTCTCCAACAAATAACATTTCACTCAATATTTATCAGTGTTCGAAAAAAATCTGTACGACATTTAAAAATTTGACTGTAAAAGAGCTGCGTGGTGTAATTTAAAATTTATGTTTTCAAAATTTATTAAAAGGGCGAGAAAAAAAAACGTATAATTTTGTTTTTTTTAGCTGGGATTTTCCCATAGTCACTTTATCTTTGATGCGAATGTGGCCCGAGGCATGAAATATGGAGCACAATAAATTCGAAAACGCCATCTGTTTCGAACGTTTCAAAATTCCACATTGCATATTCATCTCCCTGCATCCAATTCAGCTCTCAAGCGAGCTTTTTTTTTTCGTTGGTGTATCCACTGCTAGTGTATGTATCCAGGTGGTTAATGTGTTTCACTGGACGGGAAAAAATTTTCCCTCTTTTTTCTATCACGCTATGTAGTTATCGTTGGCTTTTTTTACATAGCTTCTCTCGTCTACCTAGCTTTGAGCTAAATATTGTTGAAAATCTTATTACGCACATTCTTTTTTCCTCTGGATTACGCGACTACTGTGCTCTCAAACCCGTATAACTTATAATTGTACATCTTATAGTTCATGCATAGCAGAAATATTATTCATTCCCAAAACTCTGATACAGATAAACTTGCCTGCGGCCTAAATTACTTTATTACAAAGTGCATTAAGTTGTATATGGAAAATATTTCAAAGAAACAATTTTGTACAAAGTAATGCGCTAAATTTCCTCCAATACCCATTCCATGTCATCCCATCACACAGTATCAACGTATCCCCTTCGTCTCATGTATTATGTAGACTACTGAAAGTGCCGCACGAATCTTGTTCAACAAGGCGTATCAAACTCAGCTACATATTTTGTTGGTATACTAGCTTACTGTTCAGGGGGACCTGGTGAAGGCATGGACAAGCGAGCATTTTCAGAGGAAGTTTATCGTTCCTAACATAATGAGATGCTCTTTGGTTAGTAGAAATGTAGAGAAGTAAATGATTTAAAAGATGCCGTAACTTTATTTTCGTGTGTGAGAGCAAACATGCTGATTGTTTACCAATTGTTTTAATTCGCTTATTGCAGGACTGGAGATTATTAGACTGGTGTAATAGATAAGGTTGATTTAACTCCTTGCCCGAATGTTTTTAAGTGTGAGGTTTCTGTCACCTTTAATTTGAAATTGTCTAGGATGTGCCTCAGATTTCAGAGTGCGTAGCTGGCGGTTCGGGAAACAGACGAAACTTCAGTCATGTAAACATAATGCATGAAGAACAATCGCGGCAGTTGCACATATTAGAGAACTTTCCAGGAATATTTACTTTCAGAAGGTCATCGTCAAGAGATCCATGCTACTTAACGCATTTGCCAGCTGCCACTTTAAAACATGTTACATGGTATTGTTCAGGGCCTAAGAGGTAATATATCAGCCATTAACAAGGCCATTTCGCCAAACAGAACGTTCATTTATGAAATATCATAGTGCCCTCAGAATAGCAGCACTTGACATAAGTTTCGCATCTCTTTCAAATTTTCACAGTAGGATTCTAACCGTACGCACAATAAGCAAACATTGTCTCTTTCGACCACTGAAATCACTTCCTGTATATGTAGGCCTAAAATAACCTGTATATGTCTTGGAACCTATCCGAACTCTCCCGAGTATCAGTTCTCTACATTTTCTGTCAATTATAACACTCCAAATTATTTATTAAACCTGTTTGAGCAAACAAGTACATTTACCTGTAATGCATATACAAGTGTTAGGACTAGTCTATAATCATATTTTGATGTTTTCCTCAGTTTTTTTGTAAAGTTAATATATTAAATAGAAATCTAAGAAGTTTTCCGTAATTATATAGTTGCTTGGTTATAACTTAGTTACATATTTCACAGTTTGCTTGTTTTCGGATTTTATGCATAGATTTATTCTTTATCTCTTCAGCCAAAGCGTGATGAGTCACGTATGAATGGAAATTAACTTATTCAGATTGTTTAGACGATTGCAATAAGAACGAAAGCATGTAGCACATATAAGTCTAAACCTGTAAAAAAAATTGTTTGTATATATATATATATATATATATATATATATATATATATATATATATATATATATATATATATATAAGACTTATATTAACGACCAATTACAAAGTTGTGTGATAAGTCGCCTGAGAGAACACAAAAATAATATCAACACCGTTTGAAGTTCACAGAATGTTAATCGCCACAGTGCAATAAAATGTAACGCGATAATGCTAGGAAGAGACAGCCGCTTCCAGCAAACAGACAAAAATATTACTAGTAACTCATACAGAGGCGTATCTAGGATATGGCAGGTATGGCTTGTGCCCTGGGCGCCATATAATAGTGGGCGCCGTTTGTACTTATCGGTAATGATTTCTTTCTGTTTTCATTTTTTTCACAGATGCACTGATGTAGCCTATTGTATACAATATTTAATTAGTTGTTGTAATGTATTTCTGATTCTAATATACATCTATGTTTGTTGTTTATATACTTTTATAATATTTTAGGCGTAGAGGTGTTGAGGTCATTGGTGTGAGTGGACGGGTCGTCCTTATCGTTTCTGTGCTTCTCGGCCTGGAAAATGCAAAGAAGCTGTAAGTTAACGACCGCCTTAATTTTCGATTGCAATGGGGGCTTGTAAAACTTACGGTACTGCGGCGCTAGCAATAGTCGCGTGCTACTTACGTGTCGCAGAAATTTGTATTGGGGCTACTCATTTCTCTCCTGTAGTTGCGCTGTTGTGCCACATTTTTACCCTAGGGTTTTTCGGGAGTGGTTGAAACATTTTATCAATTTATATTTATGAAAATATTGGAAATCTTAACCTCTGTTTTCGGAATGGGAATTTCTATTCTTTTGTTATTTTTTATAGCATTGTGTCTCATAGTAAATTTGGCAAACAAATAGTAATACGACATGCAATGTAAACATATATGTTTAGAGTGGTATATATACTTATTTTAAAAATCTTACAATATTTCACTGACTTAGACACTTATTTTCAAAACGACAAGCCCGTAAATATTTCGGATTAGTAGACCCTATGAACCAAAAATTAGAACTGATTACATCGGAAGTTGATGCTCCGAATCTTACCTCCGTAACGCTTTGTTGCACGCTAGCTTGAGTTAGTATGCTATCTGGGTTCGAGTCCTGTAGGGGACGTGTGTATTTTTGTCTTACTACTATTGCATAGGTTTCTAGTTCCATCTCAAGCGACATTGCTGTCAACGAATCGTCAAGACCTACCTACCATCGAAGCTTTTAAGAACTTAATTATTAAATTATTTGCATCAGGATAGAGAAAAGTAGGCCCGTTAATTACGTAAGTAACTTTTTCTTATCTTTTTTCGAAAATATTTTATTTCTACCATTTCGGAGTCTAACACTTTTCTCTATTTTTCACATATAAATTTTCGAACAGTGAAGCACGTCTTCTTTAACTAGTAAGATATTTTCTATCTGCATAAAAATCAATAATTAAAAACTCAGGCATATCACATTGTAAAACATTAAATCGATGTTTTATGTTAAAATTAAATGTATTTGTGATACACTCTCAAAAATTGCCATAGTTAACAAAAATGTAAATTTTTGGATTAGAAATATTTTAGAGTTCCATCAGCTTTGGCTGGAATTTAACGATTGGCCACATAAATTCACATTTTCTAATATAAATTATTCCTGAATCTGTATGGCTTGTGTCATCATTAGTGCAATCAGTTTTTCCATGTGGTTAAACATATAAATAATAGTTTGACTATATTATTAATTGCAATAGAATGTTAAATAATGGTGCATCAATTCCCATTAACTACATTATTGTATGTTAAGTATTTATACTCTAGGTTATAAATAATTTTAATATATTTATCGGTATGAATTGTTTCAGGAGGATTAAAAAACCATACTTTTCTAGATAAAATTTTTCAATTGAGATATTCACTAATAATTTATCCATGCCGAAGTTTTACAGGATTATTAACATTTCAATTGTTTCTCCATTTTTAGAAATTTCAACTCGAAAAAACTGAAAAAGAAAATAAAAAAGAACAATTTCAAATATTATCTGCTTAAGTATAATTCTAATTTTTGACTCGTTTGGTTAATCGAAAATAATTATAAACGTAAACATTGTTAGGAAAAGTAAATCCATCTATAAATCGAATTTAAAGTGCAATTTTGTCATTCAAAACATTGAGATTTACCTTTGTTTAATCGGTCGGAAGAAAAGTTAGTCTCTCGAAACTTTCGACGCATTTATAACCTATTTATTAGGAAAAAAACGCACATCTTTATTTTACTGATAAAAGGAAATAAAACAGAAAAAGAAACAGCAAATTAAAGTCATCCATTAAAAAATTAAAAAATTACACAACAATAACCACTCATGAACATAATAACGAAATAAACAATAATAAGGACTTGCCTTTGCTTTTAGAGTTAGTA